ATAGTCAATACTATATAATGTTCTATAGTCAAGAATATAGACTGTTCTATAGTCAAGACTATAGACTGTTCTATAGTCAAGACTATAGACTGTTCTATAGTCATGCCTATAGACTGTTTTATAGTCAAGACTATAGACTGTTCTATAGTCAAGACTATAGACTGTTCTATAGTCAAGACTATAGACTGTTCTATAGTCAAGACTATAGACTGTTCTATAGTCAATACTATAGACTGTTCTATAGTCAAGACTGTAGACTGTTATATAATCAAGAATAAAGACTGTTCTATAGTCAAGACTATAGACTGATATAGTCAAGACTAGGGTTCTATAAATCGACTTTCGAATAATCGAACAATCGACTTTTTGTCGAAAAAGTCGAAAAGTCGAAGTCGACTATTTTGTTCCAAAAAAGTCGATAACTCGACTATCGTCTGTAAAAAAAGTCGAAAAGTCGACTTTGTTAATAAAAGTCGATAAGTCGAATAAAGTCGAAAAGTCGTAAAAAGTCGAAAAAAGTCGAAAACTCGAAAATTGTAGGAACAAGTCAAAAATAGTCGAAAATTTTAAAAAAGTGGAAAAAAGTCAAAAACTCTATAATAGTCGGAAAAAATCGAAAAATAGTCGGAAAAAAGTCGAAAGAAGTCGAAAATAGTCAAAAAGTCGAAAAAATCGAAACGTCGAAAAAAGTCGAAAAGTCGAAAAAGTCAAAAAGTCGAAAAAAAGTCGAAAAAAGTCGAAAATTCGACTATTTATAAAATACTTATAGTCGAAAAGTCTAAAAGTCGACTTTTATTTAAATGAAAAAGTCGAAAAATCGACTTTTCATAAAATGTAAAAAGTCGAAAATTCGAAAAGTCAACTTTAACTAAATTAAAAAGGTCGAAAAGTCGACTTTTCGTTTCAACTATAGAACCCTAGTCAAGACTATAGAAAATTCTGTTATCAACACTGTTTAATGTTCTAGGCTGTAGACAATTCTATAGGTGATACTTTCGACCAGGCAAGGAAAATTCGGAACTTAAGTACTTTTTTCAGTAAATTTTCGATAAATACCCCAATAAGTCTATAATCTAGTCTATAGTATAGTTTATAGTCTAGTCTAGTCCATGCGTGGTATATACATAGATTACTTACCTTTATTTGTTGTTGTTGTTGTCTCCTTATTTCACAGCTGAAAATATAAATAATTGTAATAATAACAACATATTAATGATTTGCTAATACATACCTACATACACATATTCCTCCTCTTACATTAATACTCAACAACACCATCTTTCGTGTTTGGTTGCTTACGAATGGCCCTGGAAAACAAATAAACAACGACGGCCTTCTAACAATTGCCTTAATAAATTTGGCAAATTGCATATTTTTATTTAATTTTTTTAACACTCTTTTCACTAATTTCGAAAACTCTTTTCATAAATAATTTAATATACCGATATAAATTAACATTTATTTAATATTATACAACAAAAATATTTTATTATTAATAATTAATTAACGTTTTAGCTTAATTTAAACATCACTATTAAACTTAAACAACCGAACACTTTAGAAATATTAAGAAAACTAATGAAATGGAACAATAACAAAAAGCATCCATCACTTATTGCAGTTGTTGTTGTTATTATTAGATATTTGCTCTCTAAATGGAGTACTAATAATAACAACAACAATGACAATTTCTATTACCATTTGTTGCTTTAGTTATTTGTATTCTTCTTTAGTTGCTAAAAATTTGTAAAGTGTTCGGTCGTTTAGAGTTAATAGTTCTGTTTTAATTAATTTAAAATGTTAGTTAATTGTTAATATTGAAATATTTTTGTTTAAAATGGTTTATTAATATCGTTATGGAAAAATGTTTATTAGTTTAATAAAGTTGTTTTTAAAATTTGCCAAAAATTTAGTGCAATATTGTTAGGCCGAGCGCCGGGTAATTCGTTTTGTTAAGTGGAGAGTTTGGAGAGAAAAAAAAATTAGTTAAAAAAAAGTTTCAGGGGAAAAGTTGTGAAAATAATGAAAAAGTGTTGGTGTGTATGTATGTAAATGCATACATATTTACATACATATAAGAGTTATTTGAACAACAAAAGAAAAAGGTGAGTGATTTGAAGTACAATTTGTTTTTGTTTTTTTTTTATTAAATTTATTATTTTTTTTCTTATATTAAATATGACTTCAAAAAGTCTATGGTCTTTGCTAAAGAACAATCTATAATATAGACTATACAACTCTCCATATTCTTCACTACAGAGCAGTCCATAGTCGTGACTATAGAACAGTCAATAGTCTTGACTATAGAACTGTAAATTGTCCAGATTATATAGAAGTCTTGACTATCGAACAGTCTAAGTCTTGACTATAGCACAGTCTATACTCTTGACTATTGAAAAGTCTATAGTTTTGATTATAGAAAAGTCTATAGTCTTTACTATAGAAAAGTCTATAGTCTTTACTATAGAAAAGTCTATAGTCTTTACTATAGAAAAGTCTAGTTTATTATATAGTCTACTCTGTAAATAGTATTCATTATGGAATACTCAGTAGTCTTAGCTATAGAACAGTCAATAGTCTTGACTATAGAACAGTCAATAGTCTTAGCTATAGAACAGTCCATATAGTCTTGACTATAGAACAGTCTATAGTCTTGACTGTAGAACAGTCTATAGTCTTTATTATAGAATAGTCCATAGTCTTGACTATAGAAAAGTCTATAGCCTTGACTGCAGAAATGTCTATAGTCTTGACTATAGAACAGTCAATAGCCTTGACTATAGAACAGTCCATATAGTCATGACTGTAGAACAGTGTATAGTCTTTAGTATAAAAAAGTCTATAGTCTTGACTATAGAATAGTCCATAGTCTTGACTATAGAAACGTCTATAGCCTTGACTGCAGAAATATCTATAGTCTTGACTATAGAACAGTCTTTAGTATTCTATAGTTAATTCTACAGTCTTGTCTATAGTCTACTCTATAGTGCAATCTATAATCTAATCTTCAGTCTAGTCTATAATCTAGTCTATAGTGTCTATTCTATAGTCTAGTCTATAGTCTAGTATATGGTCTAGTCTATAGTCTAGTCTATAGTGTAGTCTATATTCTAGTCTATAGTCTAGTCAATAGTCTAGTCTGTAGTCTAGCCTATAGAAAAGTCTATAGACTTAATGAAAAATTATTTTAGTACTTTAAAACCTAAAAAGTACTGTTTTTGTTGTTAGTTAGAACTATGTATTTGAAAATTTCAATTTTCCATGCCTGCTATCGACTGTTCTATAGTCAAGACCAATTTTCGAATAGAAAATCTTAAAAATTTGCACTTAATATAACGAATTGTTTAGAAAATCTATATTTATACAGATTTTCAAGAGATTATCCGTTAATATACCTATAACTAAAGAAAAATTTAAATATAGGAAACCTCTACCACATATTTTGTTTCCTATTAAATATTTAGAAATTTGTTCATTTTCACTAAAGAGTACCTACCAGCCCTAAACTCCATATAAATTAAAAACATATTTGGTACTATTTCTGTAATTACAATTAAAGTATTACAATTTCTATACCAAAAGGTTTCATTCACACGCAACTTCTTCCCCTTTGTAGCATAATAAGTACTAAAACATATGTTTGCTTCTAAATAAACCCACACTTACCAACACTGTTAATAATCATTCGTATTTTTGTTTTGTTTATATTCGCTCTTTCGTATAAACAACAAAAATGCCAACAGCACTGTTGCCAACTTTTTTCCCAAAAATATCGCTAAAGTCGACTGAAAAATAGCTAGAAAATAGCTAAATTCAAGACATTTTGAAAAATTTAGCGATAAATCATCAATATAATATTTATTATATGATTCTGAAAAGAAATAGCTAAAAAAACTAGCTAAATTTTTCAGATTTTTTATATTATTCTAAAAAGTCAGCGATTTATCGCTAAAATCTATATACATACGTAGGAATGGGATAGTGATACAAACACATCTTATAACAAACACATAAGAGAATCTTTTTTTATGTTAAATATTTTCACTTTGGGTTAGGAAAAATGTCAAGTTGAGGTTAATTTCGATATGCGACCCTATACAGATTGCTTTAGAAATGTTGTAAAGATAAATTGAATTTCGAAATGCTGGCCTTTATGGATCGATCCTTTATTTTCGGCATATTTATTTATTTTTCCATTACAATACAATTACAAATTATATTCTAACCTAATTTACCGAGCAGGGTGACGATAACCATACGACCGTTGTAGTGTAGCAGACCAGGATCTCTGCTGAGAATCGAACCTACAACCCCCAGACTGACAGGCTAGCACACTACCAACTAGACTACCGGGGCACCCAAGATTATTATACACTCCTTTTGTGGGAAGTTTATCTGCGATATCGATATGCGGCCCTATACGCCTTAGAAATGTTGTAAATTTTTAGGACTTTATGGACCGATCCTTTCATCACTTATTTCCAATGTTCACTAATTTTTAGAATTATGGTAAATTTTATTATCATATCACTCATTTACTAAAAGACTAGAATAATTAAATATTCGTTTTTTAATTGAGTACAACAAAATATACCCCTTTTAAAGTTTTTCGTATAACTTTACCTGTACATACGCACAAATATTTACTCCTAATTATGTTCTTCAGAACATTCAAAATAAGTATAATACACACAGCTAAAACTCAAATAACTTACATTGAATGCATATTTTTATATACATACATATATGTAAATATCGTCATTCGTAACTTTTAAGCGATATTATCAAAATATAAATGAATAAAAAATGCCTTAAGATCTAAAGAAAAATCGCTAGATTTCCCGCTAATAGCTAAATCATATTTTTCCCCGCAAAATGGGATTAAAAATCGCTAGATTTGACGAGAAAATAGCTAAATTGGCAACAGTGGCCAACAGAATTCTTCTCTCCACCAAGTTCTCTTGCTGTTTTTAAGTTTTTCTTTATCTCTCTTTCAGTTTTATTCTACCGGTTCGTGTGTTTGTCACATTTTGCAAAGTGTTCTTATTGGAATTTAGTGAAAAATAAAGAAAATTCTATTAAATTTTATTAAAATTGAAGTAAAGTATAATTAAAACTTAATTAAACATTAAACAAATGTTGGACTAATAAAAACTTATCAAATAAAGGTGTATTTTTGCTGTAAAATTTGTTTAAAGTTTTGTGTTGTTTGTGTAGCAAACTTGTGAAATACCCGCGTGTTTTTTTCTTCTTTGTTATTAAGCTAAAAGCACAATGTTAAATTAAGAATTTTGATGTTAAAATAAAATTGATAAAGAATGATAAAAACAAATAAATAAAGAGGGAAAATAGTATAAAAAAATAGCAGAATTGTTTTGATGTTGAGCTTAGTGTTGCCACTAGTATTGTTTGGTTGTTGTTTTGTATAGTGAAGGAATTTTTGTGTATAATTGTTATGGGTATTTCTTGTAAAAGATAGTGGGCATTATGAAAGTTAAGGTGTTGTTGATAGTTGGATGAAAATTTTACATATTGAATTGGTCTTATTGGACTTTTTAGATTAATTAAACTTCCATTAGTTTGAAATACAAAGATAAAAATTAATTAAAAAATAAAATTGTTAACGTTTTTTAAAAAAACTTTTTTTTTAATTTATTTTGTTTCATAAAACTTGTGCTTTTAGCTTAATACCTATTAAATTGGATTATCAACATATTTTACCGAACTAATTCTGATAATATTCGAGTACTTCATCATTTTTTTAGTTAAGGTAAGATCCTGAACATATATTTTATTTACTACAAAAATAGCATAATCCAAAAATTCGGATTTCTTAACAATAGATCTATCTGTAGTCTCAACTATTTTTTATAATTTCGAAATGTCATGTGGAGATAACAATTTGATCGGTATTACTCAATTCGAGTCAAAAAGACGGTCTTGTTTGCTATGTTTTCAATGCGAATTCAGTTACTTCGTTTGATAGATAGATAGATAGATAGATAGATAGATAGATAGATAGATAGATAGAATAGAATGATAGATAGATAGATAGATAGATAGATAGATAGATAGATAGATAAGATAGGATAGATAGATAGATAGATAGATAGATAGATGATAGATAGATAGATAGATAGAGATAGATAGATAGATAGATAGATAGATAGATAGATGATAGATAGATAGATAGATAGATAAATAGATAGACAGATAGATAGATAGATAGATAGATGATAGATAGATAGATAGATAGATAGACAGAGATAGATAGATAGATAGATAGATAGATAGATAGATAGATAGATAGATAGATAGTTAGATAGATAGATAGATAGATAGATAGATAGATAGATAGATAGATAGATAGATAGATAGATAGATAGATAGATAGATAGATAGATAGATAGATAGATAGATAGATAGATGATAGATAGATAGATAGATAGTAGATAGATAGATAGATAGATAGATAGATAGATAGATAGATAGATAGATAGATAGATAGATAGATAGATAGATAGATAGATAGATAGATAGATAGATAGATAGATAGATAGAAAGATAGATAGATAGATAGATAGATAGATAGATAGATAGATAGATAGAATATAGATAGATAGATAGATAGATAGATAGATAGATAGTTAGATGATAGATAGATAGATAGATAGATAGATAGATAGATAGATAGATAGATAGATAGATAGAAGATAGATAGATAGATAGATAGATATAAAGACTGTCATCTCACTTCGAATTTTGAGGCATTTTGTATCCAACCCAACATCCTATTATGTTTCGGTTGCAGCTCTATTTGATCTTGCTTAATTTAATTCACATTAAATCGGTACCCACTTCTCTTTTCTTTATATGCTCTTATTAATTTCTTGTAAATTAAATATAATTCGGTTCATTTTTTGTTTACTTAATACAAGATGTTTTTCTTTTATGGCTCTTACAGTAGTGCTTAACTTTTTGAAAACATTTTAAACATTCATTAACTTTATCTTTATTATTTTAGCTATTGGTCTTATCAGACTACAATAAACCAACAACAACAACAAAATTAATACAAATAATAGAAAGTAGTATTCGTTTTGTTGTAGTTTATATTAAATTGATATCGAAGACAATACAATATTACTCGCACTGTAAAAAAATAGTACAAATTATAATCAATTACTGGTAATGAATTGTCTACAATTTGTTATTGCATGATTTCTGCACATTAATTAAAATTGAAATAAATACACATTTTGATCGCATACTATATGCTCACAGTTTGTATAGACTATTTTTTTTTGTGAGTGTATATTTTGGTTCATTCGATTAACTAACTAGCTGTTAGACTCAATGACTGACAGTATGTCTATTAGAGTGACTGAATAACTGACTATTGGAACAGCATGTTTCAAAGCGTTTTCATTTATGTTTGCTTCTATTATTGCTCTCATTTTTATAAAACATTTTTTTCTTTATCATATTTTTTTTGTGTTAATTAAATTATCGCGTTTTTTAAGAGTTTCCACTTCTACTGTTTTTTGTTTTAATATTTTCTTTTGTTTTTTGGTTTAGTTTATGTTTTTTTCGTATGTACTTGAATTTGCTGTTGTTATTAGTAATGTTAAGTAGTTAATAATACAAGAAGATAATTAATAATTTTATTTTGGTTTTTGCAATTAATAATAACACAAGTAGGAAAGTATACTCGGGCATGGCCGACCATATAACATCCTACACCATGAGTATATTTAAAAAATTTTTATTTTTCACAAAGAAACTTTTATGTTGAATTTAACCTTAATTCCAAAGTATTTAACCAATTTATTGATAAAAACCAAATTTTCTAAATGAGGCTTTACATATATAGGAGTATAGGTCAAACATGGGCCAATCCTCATTAAATTTGGGAACAGGTTATATTTTTAAATAATATGTAGTTAATTATGTTGAGTTAATTATGAGACGTTTAAGACATTTTTTGAAGGGGGATTTGTATGGGGGCTAGGGTCAAATAAGGGGCGATCATTACGAAAATCTGCAGTGTCATTTATACTTATATAAAACTTATTTGTGCCAATTTATAGAGAGATAATACATAGTATATTTGACGAAATTATGTCATAAAAAGCCCAAATCGGGAGGTACGGTTGTATGGGGGCTAGGTGAAATAATGGACCGATTTCAACCATTTTCAATAGGCTTCGTCCTTGTGCCAAAAAAATGCTTGGTCTAAATTTCATTAAATTATCTTGAAAATTGCGGCCTGTACCTTGCGCACAAGGTTTACATGGACAGCCAGCCGGACAGACGGACGGACGGACATGTCTTAATCGATTCAAAATGTGATTCTGAGTATATACTTAAAGGTAGGTGTAGGACCAATATTTTTGTGTGTTACAAACATCAGCACAAACGTATAATACCCTCCCCACTATAGTGGTGTAGGGTATAAATATGGCTTGAGATTTTGTAATTTCGAGAGGAGGTTTAAGGTGTTTCTGTGAACATTTGGCAAAAGGATTTGGTTTACAGTTTTAATATAAACTTTAAAATGTTCAGTACTTTTAAATAAGTTTAAGATGAAGTTTAGGCTACTTAGACCATAATTTTTTACCATATGTACGCTTGTTACTTAATTTCTAAGGAAAATAATTTTTAGCTAAATAAAGTATCAAATTTAGTGCCTAAAACTTAGACTCATAGTAGAATTTAGTTATAGTTAAAAAATTGTATTTTTCTTGTAGTTGACACCTCAAAACCAGTGTCAATAATAATATGTACGAACAAATATTAACTTTCAAATATTTATCCATAGTCTGGGTAATTTAAGATGTTTTTAATTTCTAAAATTTCTTTAAATTCTTTTTAATAATTTTGTAATTTATTATTGCCGTGAATATTTCCTTGCAGAGCGAAAGACTTCATAATTAGTTTAGATTTAGCTTATTTTTCTGCAGGTTTGAGTCTACGTCTGCCTATCCGTCTCTTAGTTTGTTCAGTTCAGCCATTAAGACACATTTTATTTTCAACAGAAAATGCACTGATGCAAAAATTGAACCCTAATTATTTGTGGAATGAAAATTGTCCCTTTTTATAAGAGTTACAAAAAAAAAACACACATTTTTTTTAAGTACAAACTACTACAGGGGACTTAAAAGAGAGAGAGAGAAAAAACAACACAGCAATCGAAACAATCCCTAAGGAACTTTAACGAAGTTTACATACTTTTATTTTTTAATGTCATTGAAGTTGATGCGACAAGTGAATGTGAAGTACAGAATATGGTTAACGAAAAAAAAAAGTAGTGGACAGACATTGAGATAGAAATACATATAGACAGGTTCATTTATAGCTACGAGGCTAATTGGCAAGGGTTATGTGTGAAGTGAAATATTGAAGGTGAATTGGATCTAATAGATTTCCTATATATTATTCATTTGGCTTGAGAACATGAACACTACTTCAAAATTTGTTTCGCCGTTTGTAGCGAAACATTTAACGTTTACGCTAGCATGGGTCGCTGGACATGGGGACATACATATACTACCACCAAACAGTTAATACCCTTGATAATGCTCTCACCTATTTCAATATAAGTTAAGTTCACTATAAGATAGGATTTATCTATAATATACATGAAAAGTTCACGCTTGACATTAAACCTTAAAACACTCCATCTTAGGAACTTTCATATTGGTTATAACCAGACATTTACCAGTTGGTAAACATGTCAAAAGGTTACAATTTTCCTACAGCCATTATTTACACCTTCCCCGCCATTTTTCAACTTTTTATAAACTTAGAACACTGTGCTGTAGTACAAGGGAATGCCCCTTTATATATCCGCATATATATCCTCAGAATATGCCCGTTCATCTTTGACATCCGTATAAACATTTTGGGTAAAAATATGCAGACTAACATTATTGGGCGTGGCATCTCACATATTAATCAAATACTAAACTTCGTATATATGGGAAACCCAAACAGCTATAGTCCTCAACAGTCAACTTTGATACTGATATGAACAAGTAGAGGAAAAAAATGGGATAATTATATATAGTGGGCGTGGCATTTCTCATATAAATTAAATAACAAAAGTGTTATATCTGTTGTACTATAACATCTAGAGTTGCCAAACGAATTGTCCTGAAAGCAACGCTGATCAGCTGGAATAGGAATACTTAGTACTTTCACACGGGAACTTATGATTGGACCCAAGTTTGTTATGCTTAAGGCATATGCCATATTAACCTCATTTAATCTTTCGATTAGATTAGCGACAACGGTGTCGATGCTTCCTATAAACTGATACTCAGGAACATATACTAATTCCAAGTCTTAGGGTCTTGGTCTTCTTTCCAAGCCATAAGAAGGGTAAGAAAATTATAAGGGAATCTCGCTATAAAACCTTAGACGCAAAAACTTTTACATACGGGCGGACTGAAGCCGACCAGGCAGATTAACAGTTTTCAAAGTTTTTCTTTTGTAATAGAATCATTAAAAATTTTACAAATGTGGCTTAGACATACACTTACACAGAGGGGGAAAAAATATATACGCCTGGTACCATATTGACACCAAACTGCTTATAATTTTTCAATACCATCCGTTGTCAAAGTACATACATACGTACGACAACACTGTGTAATGTTGACAACAATTCGTTGTCTAAATCTAAATTTTACACACATCCGTTGTCTAAATGTTAACAAACAATAGTGAGCTGACCACTCTTGTTAACATTTAGACAACGGCTATGTA